GGGAGAAGGTTTATTCACAAGCTGTTGGTAGCTTTGCAGAAGAGTTCTCCTGTTGTCTGCTGGACAGGAGTGCACAGCCCTCGGCTGTGGTACACTGGCTGCATGGCAGGACTGCCTTGCACTCAGGGCTGGGTTCTTGGGCTCTTGCAGGATGATTATCCCCTGGCCAGCCTCCCCCTGCTTGGCTACACAGTCAGCTGCCCTGTGGAGGCAGATGGGATTCAGAAGGATTATGTCTTCAAGCTGCAGTTCAAGTCCCACGTGTATTTCTTCAGGGCTGAGAGCAAATACACCTTTGAGAGGTAATTTTCTGTTTTCTCTGTCTTGGTTTATAACCTGCTCTTAACTCAGTGGTTGGTCATCCCATCCTCTCTTTCCTCCTAGTCTGAGTGATCTTCCAGCACATTCTCAGGAATAAAATTCCCTTCTCCCCACTGATGATATTTGGAGACCCCTCCCCTGACAGAAGCCTCCTCAGTGTGTGGGGGAGCTGGGGATACACCCAGAGCTGTGAGCTGTGCTTTGTGCCAGGATTCTGAGGCTTCCTTGGAGCCAGGGAGGAATGTGGGAGGGGAAGGGCTGTGGGGTACTCAGCTCCACCAGCTCTTTGGGAGTCAGATTTCCAGATTCTGTGAAGAGTTTTTTGGTTTTTATCTTCCATCTCTGGGAGTATTAATTATAACACAAGGCTGAGAGCAACAAGTGCAACAGGGCTCCCTTTCACTTGTCTGGTTTCTCTGTAATTACATTTTCTTATTATCTTCTATAATTAGAATTAATTGCTCTTAGGGGCTTCCACAGAGGGTTCAAACTGTGTGTGAAATGTACCATGTACAAAACTTTGCTGCTGTGTTGAGAACCATTGCACTGGGTCCTGCCTTGCAGGGTCGTATTGGTTGTTTTGGAATGTGGTTTTACTGAGGTGTCACATGTCCCCCTTCCCTGGGAGAGTGTCACACACTTCTGAACAGCTGAGATATCAGCTACCCGAGCCATAAGTTGTGCTCTTTAATGCACTGGGCTCCTGTAGGGATTTCAAAGGAAAAATGTCCAATTCACAGTGGATTTTTCTTGCTTTTTTCACAGTTGCTTTGCTTTCTTCCACATGAGCAAGGCAGTCACCTATTTCCTAATTTATTGTTAAGAAAAGCAACAATTATTGTCAGCTTGTCATCCTTGATAACATTGTGGAGAGAACAGAGTGAGCTCTCATGAGAGTTCTCTGGAGCTCAGAGCACTGTAGACTTGTTACCTGAACAGGCAGCCACGTTCTGCAGGGCATTTACCACATCCCAAGCTGTCCCTTTGAAGAGTTAATTTTCCACAAGACTTGTAAAAGAAGGAAAATGGCTGTTTTGGGAGGTTTGGGAAAGGGGTGCAGGCCATAACAAAAGACAAGATAAGCTGTGAGTGAGGATTAAGCATTTCTCATGTCTTGTCTTGGCAGGTGGATGGAGGTGATCAAAAGAGCCACCAGCTCTCCAGCCAGGTCGAGCCTGCTGTTTCCCAAGGAGAAGGACACTCACACAGACTGATGGGGGCAGAGCTGGATCTCTGCTGGCAACACCACCAAAAGAAGCAGGTGGGAACAGGAGTCTCTGGAGTTGACAAAGCAAAGACCCATGAGGCTCATTCCCCCCAGTATGGAAAGTGGGAGTGAGGGGGCTGCAGACAGGGATCCCATCCGTTCCCAATGGTGTGGAAAAGGGTCAAGTCTGTTCCAGATGAACCTACTTAGAGAGAACCCAAGAGCAGCAGTGCTCCAGTGCACACATCGTGGAAGGCTTCTTGTTCCATTGGACCTGTACAGTGACACCTTTACCTGCCCTGAAGGCAGGTACCACCTTCTTTTTACATTTTGACTGGATGATCAGCACACATGGGAGAAAACCAGCAGCTTCCAGGGGTGCAGCTGGCTGGCAGCAGTGGGTGCCAGGGCTCCCAGCCACCCCCTGCCCCAGGTGCTCCACGGGGCTGGCAGCACAACCCATCCTGCTGCTGTCACCATCAGCCTGCTGGCACAGCTGCCTCAGACAAACAGGAACACAAGATGTGTTGGCTCATTCTGAACAGACACTGCAGCTCTCCCAGAACAGCTCTGCTCCTCAGGAGCTGCCAAGGCAGCAGTTTTGCAGGGAAGCAGGAAGACTGAGTTTCTGCCGAGCTGGCAAGGTGTTGGTGTATGGTGGATCGGTGCAGGGGGGTGCATGGTTTGTCCTCTGAACTCAATCACTATTCTCATATCACAGCTCCAGTTTCTTTATCCTGTAGTAGGAGTTAAGTAAGGCATGGGATGGCAAACACTCTCCACTCTGGTGTGGGTGATGTTTTCAAGGCATTAAAGCACTGTAGGAGAAGGAGCCTCTGAAAGTCACTGCTGCTTGTGCTTGTGTCATGCAAAGACTTCTGAAAATCCCTACTCTTCTATTTCAGTTCAGGGTGGGATCCATCTTCTGTTTCTCATGAAGGTGTAAAAGTCACTGGATTCCAGATGGAGAATTAGTGTCTGTGGACTCTATTAAATTTCTGTATTAAATCTGAAATGTTTGCAGCTTGTTCTCTTTTGTAAAGCTGTCACCTTTGGGTGCCTCCACAGAAGGACTGACATATGCTAAGTGCCACAAAGTGCTGTTGGACGTGGCTTTGATGGGCTGTGGGGACTGATTTATATTGGATAGAAAAGTGTTTGTGTACTAACAGAAGGAACAATGCAGAGAAGCAGTGAAAGCAAAAGGCAAGTGTTGCATGCTGTGAGGATGGAGGAATGTGGAGATCCCATGGGACAATGGGAAGGACAGAGGCCAGCACGAGTGTTCAGTTACAGTCTCGAGCATATGTGGGATGAGGACTGAAGGGAGGGGGAACCCAGAGGGATTTTCTTGCTTGGCACTTGCATCCTAGAGGAGTGACTGCAGATCCAGCCTTTGTCACCGCTGTCACGAAGACCATTGTCCCATCTAAGTTAAATGTACTTAATTTATTAGCGTCTTCATTTATTATTTTTTTAATTACCTGTTGTAGGTGTATCCATGTGGATTGATTAGACATGTTATACTGTGGCTGAATATGACTGTTCAAAGTAAATAGCATCTTGGTATAAAACTCTCTCAGCCTCTTATTCCTGAGCTCACCATCTCCATTCCTGGGCCCACCATCCCAGGTTCAAGTTGCTCAGTAGTTTTCCACGACTCTGGATCTCACCCTGTACCAAGTGCTCTCCATCCACAGTGGGGATGGTGTGGAGGAGGGGGCAGAGCTGCCTTTGTGGAATTTGAGTGCCACTTGCCCCACAGTGAGCAGGAATCTTCCCTTAAGGTTTGTGTGGGCAGGTGAGTGAATGATCCTTTAGTTGTATCTGTGCTGAACCCGCAGCTCAGCATCTCTCTTGAAGATACAACTGCTGAGACGGAGTCTGTAAACCATCTGGAAGGACAGCAGGCAGCAAAAGTCCCCTCTTGGTTTGAGAATGCTGAGCTCAAAAAAGGGTTTAAACATAATTAAAATGGCATCTCCAAAGTGTTCGTCCTGTCCCTGAGGTCACACAGGCTCATGCAGGGCTGCACCTGTGCAGTGGATTATCACCAAAGCTGGCTATTTCACCAGCTCCTTGGGCAACCTGTGCCCCATTGGGGCCCCCTCCCAGCTGCAGAGTGAGACTGAGGAAGACAGAGATACCCTGTTGCCAGACTGCACGTAAGGAACAAACTTCAGCAAAAAACTGCAGTGCAGTGTGCTCCAGTGCACAACTATACCTTTAGTGGGGGTTTCCTGGAAACACTGATGTGCCTGCAGCTGTTATCCTTGCACACACAGTAGCTGGCTCTGTCTCTGGGGTGTCTGTTATAAATACATGAGGAAGATGCGGTGGAAGATCAAGAAGAATGCAGAAAAAAGCAGCTGGAACCAATCCTTTTCCCCTAATAACACAGTTACACCAGCCTCATTTGTTTTGTTACTTTATTGAAAGTGGCAGATCCCTTTCAATGTTTTTGAAAACTAAACCCATTGTTGCTTTGAATACTGGACAAAGGGTGTGAGGATTGTTTCCTTTAAAAAGTTTCCTCGTTCCACTGCAGAGCATGCGAGTAACGACACAGGTACCTTATCAACACGGTTTGCTACTGCTCTGAACAGCAACTTTAAAAGCAGCAGGAGCCCTTGTGCTGGCCTGCAGCCTCTGCCTTCCCCCTCTCCAAGCATCCTGTCTATACATGAACTTCTCCTCCTGAGGGAAAAGTGGCTTTGTTCTGTTCTTCCTAACTGCAAGCTCTGAGCTGGCTCTCACCACAGAACACTGCTCTGCATCAGAGAGCCAACAGCAGCACCTCTTCTCTACTACTGTACAAGTTCATAGTGTTGCTGAGCCTGTATTTATCCAGCAGGACAAATAAAGGATAGTCACAAGGTCAAGTGAACACCATACACCAGGAGCAGGGAACGTATGGTCCCCCTGAGCTACCTGCAGCCCAGCACTTAAAATCTGCAGGTCTGAAGCTAAGTACCAAAAAATCAAGCCTTGTTTCTAACCAAGTGGCCTGTCATTAAAAAAATGCTGAACAGCTCCAGCCTTTGTTCTCAGTGGCTCTGGGGTGAGCCATACCATCCACATACAAACACCCAGACAGAGCTGGGTAACTGAGTTCTTGCTGACTTCATGGGAATCTCTTTTCAGTTAGAGAGCAGCTCTCTAAGCAACCAGCTATCAGGGGTTATTTTCCTAAGTCTATTTTTCTAGACCTTTAAAATGTAGCTTTAAAATCTGTGTGCTTACCTGAATTAAAGATTTACTTTATAAACTGGTATGATACAGAAAGCAAAGCTCCTGGGGATGGCTCTGCTGGAATACCTTAAGCAGGCAACACAGCAGTAGATGCTTCACTTTCTCTGCTACGAAACACCACCCCAGCTTGTCAACTGGAGCACAGCCCTGGCTGCAGGAGGAGCCAGAAAGGGAAGGCTGAGAAGGAGAAGGAGGCCAGGCCTACAGCAGCTTTGGGTAATCTCCAGCCCTACCACACTGCTGTGAGCCATCCAGTTTATGTCTTTCTGTAGAGCACAGGTTCTTGCATCAAAAACTGCTATGTAGTGTCCCTCTGCCTTGAGAACCAAAGCTCTGCTGATGTCTGCAGCTGTTGTGTTCCCCCCACTCCCCTTTTTAACCCTTCTGCCCCATGTGGGGCTGCACAGCTCAGACCAGCACTGCCCAGCCTGCCTGTGGAGCTGCTGCAGCTGCCAGGAATGCCAAGGGCAGGAACTCCACAAGCTCCCACAGCAAACAAATCCACTTTGCCTTCTGCTCCCTGGAGACCCAAGGCAAGTTCTGCTGTTGCCTGAAGTACATGAACTAAAGCTTAATACAAAATGATGTCCCAGAGCCAAAAAAAGAACAATCAGCAAATCCATCCTCCTATAAAATGACAGGCTGGGAAAGAGCAACAGTGTCTCAGCTCAGCTCCTGCAGCACTGGAAAGCCTTTGCTACTTGTGTGTGAAGGGCTTGAAGAGATCCTCCACAACAACTGAAGAGCTGGTCTCACTCTCCCAGAGGCCCTAAATGCCTGGAGAGCTTCTCAATATCCCTGCATTCACACATGACTGCTCACAAACACTTCTTTAGGAAGGGCAGGAGACTAAACCCATCAGACTTGCCTGTGAAACATGTATCAATGGAAGAGAATCTCCCTTTTTCCAGCAGCCAGGTATTTACCAGAAACAAGCTGTGAATCAAACCAAGCCAAAATGGACACATCCATTGTAGGAAAACAATTAAAAACTGCATTGATTACATTGTAAAAACAATTAGACCACCCATCTCGGGTTCTGCAAAAGGTCTAAATTGTACTTGCATTGCAAACCCCACCCTGGGTTATCATGGAAACACGGCTAACATGAAGGCTCTGAAATGTCCTGGGGTCCATCACAATGTCACATCCAACGGCAGATGGTGGTCTGGATTAGAGATGTAGTTCTTATGAAGCTGGAAAAAAATCCTTCCCCCCTGACAAACAACAGCAGGGAATGTGAGTGTCAGCGGGCAGAGGTCAGGTGGTTCCGACTGTGTGAAAACCTGCAAGGAAGAATTACCAAGGGACAGTCTGTCAGTACTGGATGCTCTCACCTGAAATGGTGCCCACAGCAGCTCTGTGGGGAAAGGAAGGGGTCAGGCTAGGTGGATCTGTCCCCACTCCCATTGCCACTGCCAGTTTTTTGCTACATAAAGTCCTGACAGACAAAATCAGCACTTTTAACAAAAAGCCAAAGTGACACTTCTTCAGGCTTTCAGGATTCAGTTTTAACCTAATGAGAACTTTTCAGCATTAGTGTTTTATGATAAGAAAGCAACCAGATTTTTGAGGTTTTGCAAGCCCCCCCCAAAAATTATCTTGTGCTTCTGCCTTGTCCAGCAGTGTAATTTCTAGGCTGACAGATGTGAATGATGCTGAAACAAGCAGCTGTCTGCAGTCAGCACACACATCTGTGTGCAGCTCCTGCTCAGTCACAGACCCAGGTTTTACAGGTATCACTTCTGTGACCTCCATGGGTCAGCCAGAAGAGTGAGTGTTCTCTCCCTGGAGTTAGGTGATTATTAGTCCCATGGTATATTTACTTGGAAGCTCCAGCCATGTAGAAACATCCCTCTAATTAGGATGGCCATTATATTTGCTCCTTAATATCTACAGCTCTGCTTGGCAGCAGAATGTAGAGGACAACCAGGGGGTCAGGCCCTGGTTACTGGAAAGGCAGGTCCTGCCTGAGCAATCTGATCTCCTGTGACCAGGTGACCCAGAGAGTGGATGAGGGGAAGGCTCTGCATGCTGTTCACTATCTCAGACAGCAGCCCATGGCTTGGACAGGTACACACTTGTCTGGCTGTAAAACTGTCTGGGTTGGCTGAATCCAGAGAGTGGTGGGGAATGAAGTTACATCCAGTTGGGAGTGATCACTATTAGGGTTCCCCAGGGTTCAGTGTTGGGACTAGTCCAGTTTAATGTCTCTATCCATGATCTGGACAAGGAGATTGAGGGCCCCTTAAGTGCATTCACAGATGACACCAGGTTGGGTGGGCATGAAGGCTCTGCAGAGGGATCTGGACAGGCTGGGCCAAGACTAATGGTGTCAGGTTCAACAAGGCCAAGTGCCAGGTCCTGCACTGCAAGTCACAACAACCCCCTGCAGGGCTACAGGTTTGGGGCAAAGCAGCTGGAAAGCTGCCTGGTAGGAAAAGACTTTGGGATGCTGCTCAACAGCAGCTGAACATGAGCTGGCATGTTCACCTTGAGTGCTGTGTCCAGTTCTGGCCCTCACAAGGACGTTGAGGGGCTGGAGTGTGTCCAGGGAAGGGAACAGAGCTGGGGAAGGGGCTGGAGCACCAGGAGAGGCTGAGGGAGCTGGGAAAGGGGCTCAGCCTGGAGAAAAAGAGGCTCAGGGGGAACCTTCTGGCTCTGCACAACTCCCTGACAGGAGGGGACAGCTGGGGAGGGTCAGACTCTGCTCCCAGGGAACAGGACAAAAGGGAATGACCTCAAGCTGCACCAGTGGAGGTTGAGGCTGGGAATCAGGAAGAATTTCTTCACAGAAAGAGGTGTCATGTGGAATGTGCTGTCCAGGACGTGGTGGAGTCACCAGTCCTTGAGATGTTCAAGAAACAGCTGGATGTGAAACTCAGTGCACTGGTCTAGTTGACACAGTAGTGATCATTAAAAGGCTGGATTCAATCTCAGACATCTTTTCCAGCCTTAATGATTCTGTTCTATTCAATAGGTGTTTGAGTTACAAGGCACAAACTTCAACCCACCAGAAAGAAATGCTTAGAAAGCCCAAGGTCAAGGGTGTAAACTCTAGTCAAGACTGTGTAGTTTGGGCTGTGTTTATAGGGGCAGCCAGAGCACAGAACAGCTTCTTTTGGTATGGCAGAATACTTCCAGCCTGCTAACCAGGAGCCAAATGTTAAGTTTCTCTCTTGGTAAGGAAAGGGGGAGATTTAGGATAGCCTGCTGTGAAAGGGAGAAAAGCCAAATAAAGTCTGATAAATCTGTGACCAGGTTAGCTGTGTTGGTATCTGCAACACATGGATGTGACTGGACTTGGTACCAGCAGTGGAGCCAGGTTTGACCCAGCAAAGAACTAAATTCTACCAGCCTACATTCCTTTACTGGTTTAATAACTAATTCTTGTCAGGAAAAGTACACTTTTGTGTATACCTAAAGGTGGGCAAGCAGTGACTATCTGCAAGTAGTGCCTTCAAGCACATTCCTTGCAGTGAAATAGGTATTAATTAACAGAGACTTTCTATCCAGAAGTGATCCCAATAAGATTTTGCATAGTCCTTGCTGCCTGGGTAATGGGACCAGCAGGACATCCCATGTATACAGATAATGTGCAAAATGAAGGTGAACAACAGCATCTTTCTGTGCCCTACAACATAATCTACACTACAGAAACCTGTCCAGTGTGAGGAAAGGCTTCTGAGGCAAAAGAACTGTTTCCATTAAATGAAAGCAGTTAGAAGAAGTGCCATGGGAACTGTTAAGGTAGCTGTCATCAGTATTCACTTTTGTCTGTCTGAGTGCTCAGCACTGACCTTTGCACAGCCCTGGAGCACCAGAGCTGTGTGGTTCAGTGCTGGCTCCACCCCAGCTCACACACAGGACACTCACTCACCTTTGGACCCTCTCCACCATGTGTGCTATCAGTTTGTCAGAGATGCCTGGGCAGGACTCCTCGGCCAAGCTGAAGGCGTTCTCCAGCTCCTCCATGGCTCCCACATTGCCTCCAGTCTGCTTGTGCTTATCTTTGAGCTGCAATCCAGAAACAGGCCATTAGGGCCTCATTTTGTAGCAGAAAGCACTGGTCAAGAAGTGCAGCATTGACATTAAGGCCCTTTCCCTCTTATTATGACTCCACCAGGGTGTAGGAGGGCACCCACATTCCACTTAAATGAACCAAAAAGAGCTCATTTGTAGGTCAGGAAGGTAGAATGTCTGGGGTTCAAATTTGCCTCCAGGTACTAATGGCAATTGAAGCCCTTACCCAATAGGATGTATTCTTAAACTTAATGTTATAAGAAATGGACCAACAGCCCTGAAAAGTTGTAAGTAGTAACAGCATAAAGACCTCCAGGTGTATCTGAAGCAGTACTATCATCTTTGCTGCTAATGACAGCCCAGCACCCAGACACACACACAGGCTCCCAGGCAGGCTGGGCAGAATATATCCAAAGCCAGGAGTTAGTCACCACCACTTTTAATAACCACAAAAAAGTCTTGAGTTGCTTCTAGTGACTGGGAAGCCAAGGCAGACAACTGCCACACCAAGATCCTGAGCCCCTTGGCCTCCAACACTCCTCTCTAAGAGAGCTTTACCCAGGGGGGCAGGGGAAGAAAGTCCCACACCAAGATCTCCAGACACAGCAGCTGCCTCAGCTCACATCCCTCATGGTCAGTGCACTCTGACTAGGGTTCTACTTGCACATGTTTCCAGTTGTTAATTTGAAATAGCTTACAGCTCTGTTGAGAAGGAATGCCTGACAGGCCACAGTGCTGAGCCTGAAGGAGTCAGTTGTTGAATCCTACATTTCCACCCCAGCAGCAGTTCCCCACCTTCTTCCCACAAACTGCTGATATGACAGCCCCTTCCCCAGAGCACCATCACACAAGGAGCTGAACAACAATCAAGCATCTTGTTGAACAAGCAACATCTGGTCCAGTTCAATTAAGCTCTCATTAGGCTCTGCTGATTAAAGGGCTTTACATAAGCCTCACAGTTCTTTGCCTCAATTCTAGGATCAGCATTTCCTGTTGTTGGAGCTCACCTTTCCTCAGAAAGCAGAACAATGTGAATGCTAATCCCCAGCTGCAGTCATTCCTATGCACCAAGTGCCCTGCTGGGAACAAACAGTTCCCAGCCAAAAAGGGCCATGCCTCCTCCAGTGGGCACCTGTTCCCTACCACAGAGCTGTGGGAACAACCCACACACCTCTGCTCAGTCACAAGTGGCAGGGGCATGGAGGGCAACTCAGTTACACATCAAGGATACAGATTTCTTAGGCCAAAAATAGTTGGGATGCTAAAGTCAAGGATTTGATGTGTACCAACCAAAGATTGTCTGCCTCAGAATAAGCACAGGGTCTGTCCTGGAGGTAAGGTGTGGTGTCAGTTTATCATCATCATCAGCCTTTGATGCCAGGCCCCTGACCTTCAGCCTGTGACAGGAGCAGTGTGTGCTGGGCTGTCTCTTCCCACTGCAGAAGAGCTTTCTGCAGGTTTGCAGGAGTTAAAGCACTGCACTGAGCTCAACCTTACCAGGCCTAAAAATCACCCTGCTCCACAGTGTTTCCAGATTTGCAGTTGTCCACACCTGTTAGTGACTCCTCATGGGACATTTTCAATATTAACACCCAGTAACACACATGCAGGGAAGGTAGAGGAAAGATTACAAATAACATCTCAGCTAGATTTCCATTCACAAAGCTCAGCTTTAGGAAAAGAGGGGATCAAGCCTAGCTGGTTTAAGATGCAATCATACAATGGTGAGGAGGATAAAGTTTTCAGTTCTAGTTTCCTACCAATAGCAAAGAATAACACATTCAACCAGCAGATTTCACCTGGAGAAGTCTTCTTCCAAGTCCCCTCTACTGCACACAAAAGCCATTTCAGAGACTGCCCAGAACCCTTCCTGCCTCCAATTTCAGTGAGATCTGCAGAGCCAGCAAAAGACTAATCAAAGAAAGGGGGATCAACAAACTGGGGCAACAGAGTCGAACTAGAAGAAATGAAATGTCTGAGAAGCCACTTCCTGCCTGGAACTGGTGCAGCAAGGTGAGTGAGGAAAAGCACAAAATGCATTTACAGTCACAGCCCTGAGCACTCTGCTCAGGAGGCTCCTAAAGCTGAACAGCGACCCAGACATCAGTGACTGTGCTGCACATACAAACTGCATCACAAACCAATGTGGCTTTAATGTGGTTTCATCTCATAGCTCTAAGCCTACAAGACCCAGGTCACTGGCCTCATGCTCTGACCTCAGCTCTGTGGAGCATAGAAGAGGCCAGTTAGATAAACTCCCAATTTCCAAAGTGGAATAGTCTCAAGAGCCTGCTTTTCAGAATGACCTCTGGTTCCTGCCATGCAGAAAACCTCTTTCCACATAGCAGTAGACCTGAGAAAAGAGTTAAGTCTGGAGACTCTCTCTGTAAAAAGCACAGCTCTCTGCTGGGCCATGCCATCAGGATCCAGAAGATTAACTCCTCAGGACCAGAGAAAGGGTGTCTGTCACCAGCATCTCAAGAACAGAACCCTGACATGCAGCATCTCATTGATTTCTTCCAAAGCATAATCTCCTTTCCTGCCCTTCTGCTGGAAAGAGCAACCAGAGCTCATAGCCAGCAGCCCCCTTATGATTATCCTCCTCTTTCCTGACAACATCACCCAGCTGGAAAGGTGAGCTGTCACATCTCTGCTGATACAGGCACCATCCTATCATTAATGGCAGCTCTTACTTCAACTCCACACCCCCATCCAGACCACAGGGCAGGGGAACTGGGAACTGGGTAGGTTTTCTAAACATTTTCTCTGCCTGGCTTCCAGAAGCCAGGTGTCAGAGAACTCCTTGGTCTTGGTGTGCTACCAATAGCAACCTGTGCAGATCAAGAAATGGCCTGCTCTAATTCACCCAATAAATTCCTGCTCTAACCCACCTACCTTCCCCTCAGTAACTCTGCTGTGGACATGCACAATGACAGGCCAGCTCTGCTCTAACAGGAGCTGCACTTCAGCCATGGACATCAGAGTCTGGAGCTACCCAGGCATCAACAAGCCTAAGATGCAGGTAAGAGACAGATACTTCTCTATCAGAACACAGACTACCAGAAGGGTAATGCTTTTCTTCCAAACAGAAGCGTTTCCAGGAGGACACACCAGGGATGCACTCCCTTTCCCCACATATGGTCTAGCTCTCTGAACTGGTACAGATGTTTCAGAGTCCCTTAACCCTACCAGACACTTCACCACACCTCTCTTCTCCAAATCCTTCCCATTTACTTATCTGTGTCAGGTATCTCTTCATCTCCAACCAGCAGAGACACCAAGAAGGTTCTACTCACCTCCCCAAAAACTGGGTGAACAAGTGTGGAGAGACACTGTGACCGTGGCTGCCTCTTGATGGGCTCAGTAGGCTGGAAAACAACACAAAAAGAAGTTACAAGTACAGGCAAAAGCTTCCAGGGCACATGAAGCACGAAGTATTTGATGAATTCACTCCATGACAATCCCATCACCAGATCTTGAGAAAGCCACAAGTCACAGTACCCTGATGATGTGGAAGAAGCAAGTCTGGAGCACCAGCCCTTGGTGCCAGACTGAACTAAATTTTAGACAGAAGACGAGTGTCTGGTGGCTTCCCCAAGACACCCAGAACTTCATGTTAGTTCAGTCCACTTCAGAAAGACCAGACAGCACACAGACCTTCTGGGAACCATGAAGAGCCATTCCTTTGTGCAGCTTGCTCAAGGAATTGGGGCGAATGGTTGGTGGGAATGTCCAAATTGGACCCTGGTCTCCATCCTCTGCATCTCCATCACTGCAAATGAAAAGGGGAAAGTCAAGACAAAGCCTCAGCTCCATTCATTGGGGATTTGCCCATACTTTCCCAGAATCACAAGTTCTCCCCACCTGACTGCCATACTGCTGCAGGCCTTCAGGCTTTTTCCTTCCCCATAAGAAATTCTGAAGAGAAAACACTTTAGTCTCTACAGCATATATACAGCATCAAAGAGATCAGAGCTAAGTACTACATCACGTTTCCAAATTGCCACATCCACCTCTCTGATCCAGCCAGCTTCAAGAAGTTTCTAGTGCTAGTTGAATTTAGGAGAATTTCAAATTTCAAGACAACCCAAGCTCACAATGTGAGGGGCCAGACTTAGATGTTATAAGCCAATCTCCCCGAGTCCTTGGTCACTCGAGTGGCTGCCACCACAGGTGAAGAGCAGCTCTGTGACACCATTCTGGCAATGAAGTGTCTTCCCCACCCAAGGCCCATAATTTGACTGTCCTGCATGGCAGTGCACAGATTTACCCCTGAGTACAAATACACACCAACACAGCTCTTGCCACAGTTACTGAAGCCTGGAGCTCTTGTAGTTAATGAAAGGTGCATAAAATACAGGCAACAAGAGCCCTGTTCTACTGGTTAGACACAGACCAAATGTTTCATGTCAGTACTCCGACTCCTTACACTCAGACAAGAGGCTCCAAAGGTTAAGACCAGAACAGAGAACTGAGTCTCAGTGAACAGGAGGTAACAGCCTGGCTCTTCAGGCAGCACTCACTTGCACCCACAAACAAAACCTCAAAGATAAGATCTCAGGTGGGAAAAGGAGCTGAGCTGTTTGCAGTAGCCACCCTGGGCCCCTAAGCAGGGGCAGCAGGGGCACCCCTCCATGCAGAATGTACGTACATATCAGAATCTCCAGAACTGGAATCTTCTCCATGGCCCTCGGACTTCCAGCGCTTGAATCGATCGATCAGCTCCATTAGGAATGAGGTTTTCTTGGTGTAGCGTGTGATGAACTTGTGCTTTAGCAATTCTTTAGCTGTTGGCCTCTGGAGCAGATAAGGAAAGCATGTCACATCTAATCCTCTCTGCACACTGAACACACGACTCACTGACTTCAGCTGGAATCACACAATATCCTGAGCGGGAAGGGATGCACAAGGATCATCAAATCCAACTGCTGGCCCTGCACAGGACAGCCCTCAACAATGCTACCAATCCCCATCGAAGTGCCTGAGGGTGTTATCCAAATACTCCTTGAACTCTTGGCAGTCTTGGGGCCATGACCACTGCCCTTAAGAGCTTGTTCCAGTGCCTGACCACACTCTGGGGGAAAAGCCTTTTCCTAATATCCAACTTAAACCTCCCCTGACACAGCCTCATGCCATTCCCTTAGGTCTCATTGCTGGTCATCACAGAGAAGTGATCAGCACTCGCCCCTCCAGGTCACCTCCTGTGGAACTCCTGCCAGGCTCACATGTCCATCCTGTGAGCTCAGCAATTCTCTCTCTCTGGGATTCTGGAACCTCCCTGGTGAAGGAAGTTTTGACCTCTGCTGACCTTTACCAGATTCACAGGTGGGCAGCAATACTCACAAATCTAGGATCCTTATTGAGGCAGGCTTCCACAAACTCCTTGAAAGGCTTGCTGTGGTGACCCTCAAGTGTTGGAGGGTTGTTTTTGGGGATCAAGAAGAGAACCCTCATAGGATGCAAGTCAGAATTTGGAGGCTCTCCCTTGGCTAGTTCAATGGCTGTAATCCCAAGGGACCAGATGTCTGCCTGGAAAAGAGAAGAAGAAGAACACAGAACAACAAGGAGCACTTCTACAACATGAAAGCACAGTTTTAGAACAGCTAATCACGTAAATCAGACGTGGCATTTCATGTCTAATACACAAATTTCTCCAGCAGACCCTGCATCATAACAGAAAATAATAATTCCTGCAGTAAGCAGCACTTCCAATCCCTGTTTCTGTCCTAGCACCACCTCGTGTATAGTAGCCTCAAGCAGCAATCCTCCTGCTCCCAGCTCACCTTGAAGTCATAAGCAGACTGTTTGATGACCTCTGGTGCCATCCAGAATGGAGTCCCCACAAAGGTGTTTCTCTTGATTTGGGTGTCTGTCAACTGTCCAGCTACCCCAAAGTCAGCCAGTTTCACATCTCCTTGTTCCGAGAGCAGCACGTTGGCAGCTATATGCACAAATAAGCAATTAAATCTGCTGGCCTCTGAATCACCTCCAGCCCACACACAACTGAATACTGAGCACAGCCCTCCTGTGGCATCCTCCTTCACACCCCAGTGATAACTCTCAGCCTGCATTTCCAGCCTCAGACCCATTCTAATGCTTTGCACTCCACCGGGTAACATGGAACAAGCTCATGCACTTTGCTGGATCAGAAGGGGAATATTGATTGCTAAGGTAGGAGCAGGGAGTAGATGTGAAGGGCCACACCATCAATTAGATGTGACTCCTGGCCACACAAAGAAGGGAGGGCAACACAGTCTCTAATGCTCTTGATTTTTTTTCCAGAGTAGCATTCAGCACAGGTTAAATAGCAGATCCTTCTAAAGAGTTCAAGTTCCACTCACTCATAAGACTGTAACATTGTGCAGGTTTGGGAATTGGGGTTTTCTGCAGGACTTCTCATTCTGAGACCCTACCTAACAATTTTCAGCATTTCCCCACCACTGGTAGCCAACACCCTTACACATCTTGTAGTGCTAGAAATGTGCAGTCTCACATACACAATGAAATCTTTTCTCCCAATCTCCCTGCATGAGGTTTCTGTGCCTTGCCTGCTCACACCCCCTCCTGCAGTGGGTAGGAGCAGGGAGCATCTGGCACTGACCCAGCTCCCCAGCACTGTCCCTCCATCCTCCTGCAGTACTTGGATGCTCTGGGCTTGCTGGGACACTGCTCTTCAGGAGGCAGATGCCAGTTCTCTGTACACTGCACATGGCCAGTGACTATAAAAAGCCAGCAACAGGATAAGCTGACACAAGCTGCCCTGATTTTCTAGGGCTGTGAACCCTGCATGAGGACAGCTCATGTCTGCTGTGAGCTGCAAGCACAATAACCAGCACACACACCCTTGGGGTCCAGCAGCAAAGCAGATGTCCAGACACAAGTCAGCTAATATCTGAGCATGCCTTGCACTGACTCCTTCACTCCAGCTCCCTGACTGTCCAAACTCCAAGTGCCAGGGGAGAGCTACAGATCCTTACTGTTACTCTAAACCCTAAAGACATGAAAAGCATGAGTTGTGATACAGTGACAAGCATCAGGTTCAGAAAACAGCAACCCAACACAAAAAGGAGCACTGAGAAAGTCTTTAAAACCTTGCAGATTTTGGTGAATATAATACCTCTGAGTATTATCTTACTAACATCCCTTACAAGAGAGGGAGCTGAGCTGTCCAATCTTACCTTTGATGTCTCTGTGGATCTTCCTCTCTGAATGTAAATAATCCAAACCCTTTAGGATTTCTCTCAGGATAGTAGCTATATAAGTCTCTTCCAGTGGTCCTGGCTTCAGCTGATAAAAGGCAGAAAGATGACTTAAAAGAGGGTGACTGATGCCTTGGATTTTCCAGACTCTCAATTTGTTACGTGGAAACCTTGGCCAAGCAGGTTGTACTCAGTACAAAGCACCTTCTCGCACACCTGATGCATGTGCTACAAGCAGAATGCTGCTGTTTGCACCTGGCAGCATTCAGTGGAAAAACTGGGGGGATTTTCTGCTAGTCTATCAATCTGTTAAAGGCTTCCCAAATAAACAGCAGTTCATCTCTCACTTTGGCCTGGAAATACTTTGGCCAACAGAACATTTTAACACTTTCTCTTGTTCAGGTCTCTCTGCCAGCATGCAAGTACTGAATTTCAGCCTCTGAGACATTAACAGGCTGTGGAGTACTGTATCAAAGCTCTTCTCCTTTCCATCAGTTCTCCTCTAACCAAGTCTTGCCTTCTCAGTGCAATAACTGAGGTTCTGACACTCAGATAACTTCTGCTGATGACAGCCCCCCACCACACCTTCTTCCAAGTCACTGTAAGGTCAGCAGTTTTCCCTACATCATTAGTTACCACTCTGAAAAAATGGGTGTTATTGTCCTAAAGAGAAGAGAAAAATGCTGTGACAGAACACAGTGTGGCAGACCTTCGCCTATAGATAAATTCTGTATTTGCATTCTCTCAAAATTTGGAGTGACTTAATCACAGACATGTCTTTACTGAGCTATGCAAGCACTGAGCAATACCATGACTCTGACTAGGTGAAGTACAGATTTGCACTGCTCAAAAACAACTGACTGTGCTCATTTTTCAGTTCACTGGCTCCTTCCATCATACAGCAGCATAGCATGCTGGACAACAGTGCTGGGACAGCTGAGCTCCATGAATACATTCCCTCTGTCCTGGGATAAGCATAACCAACATGTCTGTCCTGCACTGCTTACCCCTCAGGCACAGGGCTGCCAAAATGATGGTATGTAGCAAATGAGTGTCTGGCTTATGGGTATCTTACAAACCAAGTCTCCAGTCAGTATTTTTCATAGTCCAGAACTTGCCACTTACTCACCAAATCCAGGGCTGAACCTCCTCCCAGGTACTCCATGATTATCCACAGCTTGGTGCCCTGCAAGCAAGAGCACAAATCAAGACCAAAGACAGCAATAAAAGCAGACAGCAGACTCATGAGCAGACTCATGAGCAGACTCATGAGGCAGCAAGACACAAGAGTAGTTCTGTACACAATCCAAGGGATGCTGCACACTGCAGCTCTCAGAGGCTTAATGAAGGAGCCCCAAGCTTCCTCTTTTCTGCTGACACAGCATTACAGAGGTAATGCTGGACCTGCCTCCAGCACTTTTCTAACTTTCAGTCTGCAGTTTTACGTGGGCAAGTGCCCCTACAGGCACCAGACTGCTCAGCCCACAGATAAGCTTATTCCCAGGTTGGAGTCCTTTAACAGCTCTCCAACAGCTCATCCAGCACAAGTCCTTCTCGGCAATGGCAGGGGAGCATTGCAGCCTTTGATCTCCTTAACGGGGCTGCCAGCTTGAAGGATACAATTGGCAAGACACTCTAACTCCTCAGAGAAGAGATTCCATACTGAGGTTCACAGGGTCCCAACAGAAGATAAGCAGCAGGTCCATGAAACTACAGCAGAAGGCTGAGAAAATGCATTATGGCTTTTTGAAAAATAAGGGAGGAATATTCAGGACCCAAAGAGCTCAGGAACTGTTTACTGCAGTCCCACTGTTACATTCATCTCCAGCAGCCAGCATGCACAGGACACTTCTGATCAACACTACTTCCATTAGGGATTCCTAAACCTGTTCTCAATGGAAGCAGTATTGGTACTCTGCCATAGACTTAGTTCATATTCTTTTCACCATTTCTGATGAAGTAGTTTCAACCTCCACTTTTCTTCAGAGGCGTAAATCCCTCAGTGGTACTGCCTTAAGACTGTGCTATTCTGGAACAGTATTCCATCAACACCCTTTCCAGAATTGTCAGACCAAGGGAAATTCAGTCTTCAACAAATAATTTGCTCTCCAGTGAAGTGCCTTGGTCTTGGTATCACAAAGTGCAGGACACCTCATTTCCATGTGCTTAGCAAGTGCCTTAAAGCCCAGTCTGCTATTAAGTGCACATCAATGCAGTGAGCAGAGCCACCACTGCTCTTGTCCCACTCACACATCACTTTGTGGTGCCATGTGCCACCATCCACTACAGCACCCACAGAGGAGCCCTCCCCATTCCCAAACTACTGGCAAGGAATCACCATGGTTTGTTCTACCTTCAAGTAGGAGCCATAGTACCGGGTAATGTAGGGACTATCACACTGGCTGAGCACAGTGATCTCCTGCTGAATGTCCTCAATCTCATCCTCAGCCTCCTCCAGATCAATGATCTTGATGGCCACCACTTCCTTGGTGCGGTTGTCGATCCCTTTATAGACTTCACCAAACGATCCTTTGCCGATGCGCTCCAGCTTGGTGAACAGCTCCTCAGGATCCACTCTGGAGTGCTAAACCAGGAAGCAGAGATGGGAAAATTCCATTAAGTTCCCAGGCTGCAGAGCACCACATATACCCATACAGCTCATCTCCGTATCTGTGCACCTACCACGTTGATAAATTCATCTGAAACTCATGTATCCTAAACAGTATATCCAAGATGGGAACTGAAGAAACCTTTTCCACATGCTTTCCAGCCCTGCAGACCACAGTGGAGGAGGAAAAGGAGGGAAGCCCAGCATGAGAACCTCAGCAAATATTGCTATGGAAAGTGTCAGCTCCATTGGGACAGGGCTGCTCAGCTGCAGGCACCAAGTGATGCCAAAGCAGCTCCATGAGCAAGCATCTGTTCACATTTCAATACACAACAGCAAGTGGTACCAGCACCAGCTCTCTCTTGGAGATCTGGATGAGAAAATGGGCACAAGCAAGAGGCCATAAAGATGTTTCCCTAGTTAGCCTTCCTGCACTCAAAGACTGAAATGATTAGAACGATCTGCACCCTTCCCTATTTATCTTATTAAAGTAATATGAATTCACATTTACTGCCATCCCTGCTGCAGCCTGATTTCCAGGCAGCAGCCGGCCCAGCTCTCCTCAGATGTCTGCAGAAGGAGCCTCACACCTTTTGGGAGGTCAGCAGCAAGGAAGAGGCAGGAGAGCAGAATGGACACTCCATCTACCTGACCTGCTTTCCTGTACCAGCCTCTTCTCTGGCTGGCACACTCAGATGCAAAGGCACATAGCATCTCCTTCATTAGATAAGCACATCAACTAGGCAGTTACAAAGAAATATTTTTTAACAGCAGCTGCAAAGTAATTCTTTATTAAGGTGAGTAAGGGTCAGAAAGGGAATAAATCACAGTCACTCCCTCCTGCTATTTCATTCAGTCCACCTGCACACCAGGAGACCCTTCATGCTAGTAAAATGCTCTTTGTGATTAGTTTTTCCGTCTTTTTTTTTCAGTAGTTTGAAGAAAAAACTCTGGAAAAATATGGCCTGACCACAGCAATTATATTATAGCAGCCAAGCCATTAGAAGGAATTTTCCACACCCAGAACTTCTCAGTCTCACCTCCAACATGTCACTCAGTGAGAGTGCTCTCTCACAAGGGCCTTGAGTTGGCAGATTTTATCAGAGAACATGGAAGCTGCATTTTTCCATCTCACACCAGGTTCTAGCAGCAGGCCCTCACTGAACAGCCCAAGGTGCTGCTTAATGATTAAGCCAGTCTGTCATCACAGGTTGTTTGCCTTCTGTGCATTGCTACAAGCCAGGCCCAGGTGAGCTTTACAGGTAGCCTCACTCAACAGGATTTCCACACAAACTCCAGTCCAAGATACAGAAGGATAACCAAATATCCTTTTGCATCCATAGCAACACCCAAACAGGCTGTACTTTGAACAAATGCACTGGAAACAGACTAGAAGGGATGTCTGGAGATAAAAAGAACTGGAGATACATAGCAGAGACTGGAGAGAGGGAGGTGGGGCAAGAAGATTTGAGCTTGAGCAATGTTAGGGGACAATATGAGAATGACTGCAGGCAGGGAAGACAATCTGACTAGTCCAGGCTCACTACAGACCAGGAGCAGTTTCCACCCCTTGACTGACTTGGAGGAAGGGACAAAAAAGTGCCCCAGACATTTCTGTGCACAGTGACCTACTGCACCCAAAAATGGCTACCAACACATCAGCCACTCCCACACATCAGGGAGAAGGGAGAGAAAGAGGATTATCTCCTAGAAGCACCTGCTCAGCTCAGAAAAGAAACACTATCTACATGAATACTGCAGGGAAGCAAACCTTCAAGAAAACATTCCTCCCCTTCCATGTAACTTTTCTATGAGGTAAGAAACAGCAAGGTGCCCTTCAGCTTGGCAGGGCACATCTGAGAATCAGGACTGATTTCTCCAGATTAAGACATCAAAAGTAAGAGCACTGGCTGTGGCAGGCAGCTTTTGGGACAATCACTTTGTGTGGCAGCCTCTGTAATCATGGACAACTTTGTAAACAAGCTTCCAGACTTGGGTGTTGCTTTATCCTGTTTTTCATTGAACAAAGAAGTTCAGGTAGGTCCTGTGAAGGAGACAAAGCTTCCTGACAAGAAGACAGAAATTTTGCCCAAGTGACTCAGGAAAACAATGTAACTGATGGGCAGGTGGGACAGGCCCATCCCCATTAGGGTGCAAACATTAGGACACTTTGTAGGTATTGGATTTACCTTCCCAGTACTGACCTGGAAATGCTTTAGAGCTCGCAGGGGCAAGAGTCTGACTCTGTGGAGGGCCTGAGGATGAACATCCCTTGATGCACTGGCCAAAACTGCAGAAACCAGGCCCAGCAACAGAAAGAACCCAGGGAACCAGTCCAGGGCCAAGAGGTACAGAGTCATTCCAGCCACAGTTACAGTCTCTGGACACTGCTGGATGAATTCCTTCCCTTTGTGTAAACAGGGAGGATGAAACAGGCCCATCCCTAAGCCTGCTCAAGAGAACACCTTGTGAACACCACAGAAGAAATTGCCAGGTGGCATTTTCAGCACCTCTGAATTTTCACAACAAACTAAGATGTCCTGTCTGCAGGACATTGTTCAAAAGCCCTTGTCCATTAAAAAAAAAATCCAGTTTGAGACACCACACGGTGACCTGTGCTGACAAACAAAAATGTTCAGACTTGTGGGCATAAAAGCCTCAGCACTCATCAGAGAGCAGCACAAAGGCAGTTCCACCAAGAATGGAGAGCTATGGAACTGCACTGCTCTGTCAGGAGAGAGAAGGATGCACTCCATAAGCCTGACTCTCCCCTTCCCCAACACACCTGCACCTACAAAGCACCTTGGTGAGAGGTGTAACAAGCACCATCCCTCTCTCTCCTAAATATGAATTATCTCAGTACCAGTCATCTTGTTAGAGAACCACGCTGGCCAGAAATCCATCTTCTGGAATTGCACTGCTACAAACACACCTGGAAAATTTCATTAGCAGGAAGCAACAGAATCCAGATGAAATGCTTTGTATCTGCTTAAATGAGCACAGATAACCCAAAGCAGCTCATTAGGACCTGTAACCTTTGCAACTGCTCACCAGCTTGGGTTCTTCCCATTTTTCTTCCACATTCCCAGAACTCATCAGAGCTGAAAAATGGAGCTCGAGGTCAGCAGTGGCTGCTCCTTGTTCTACTACTGCATGTAAAGCCGTTAAGGGATGGTCACTACATTTTAACTTTTTGCTTGACTGAATGCCTGTTACACAGCAGTTCAGAAGCAAAAAGCCTCCTGCTGTTCCTCTCCACTGAGAGCAGTCAGTCAGACACCAGAGATGGCTCAGGCAGGCCTGGGCAGGCTTTGGAGGGAGAGCACACCAAGCACCATCTCAGTGGTAAGTGCAGGAAGGGAATAAGTATGAGAGGAGCGATGACAATTTCCTGGTAATGTGCTCCACTTCTGCCCTCTGGGATCCAATCTCACAACACAGGAAAGAAGGATGCTCTGTCCTGACAGGTGTGGGAGTGTTTGCCATCCTGACTGATGATACCGTGTTTTAAAACAGACCAACTCACTGCAGCCATCAGCAATTAGGAATTGCAGTGTGTTATGAGACAAGCCTGGCAGTAACACCAACTGCTTCATGGGGAAAGAATGGTTTTGGCAGCTCTGCCACCTCCAGCTGTGGAGACGTGATATCCACAGTCTTTGAGAAGATGTGGATAAGTACTAGAGAGGAAGGGTAAGTATCTGCCCTCATTTCAAAGCTACTGCCTGGAAAGATAAGCTGCATATTGGGAACAAAAGCAAACACCATTTGAACCAGCTGAAGATCTTCTCTGTGGGCTGTGTCCAGCTGGATCTTACTCTCAAAATATTCAAGAGCAAGAATCACGCCTGCATTTGTTGCATAAAACACTGAGGGGTGCTTAAACCCTTTTGGAAATGAGAACTCCTTAATCTGGAGCAGGTTGGAATTGGAATCACTGTTCTATATGGGAGAGGTCTATAACAGAAGATTGCCAAGGCCATAATACTTTATGAGGTGAAGCTGACCAGGAACGTGGCAACTTCAAAGGGTTTATGTGGAACTACAGCCACATTTAGTGTTATTTCTGACTGGAACACTTTCCACCCAGCCAAACAAACAAATAAACATAATTTTGCTCTGCCAAAGTGGAAGAAGGAAGTTGGTTTAAATAGAACTCATCTGCTCTTCTCTTTCCCTCACTGCATTCTCTGCTCCCCAACTTCCCACCAAGCATGCCCACTCACCTCTGGGCTACCAACAATCTCTTTGGTGAAACCAGCTTTGTATGGAATCATCTGAAAGCTTCCCTGGCTATACAAAACCTGTGCACAGCTCTCTGCAACTGCCATAACCTGGGACAGTTTTGAATTTCTGGAGTATAGAAAAGAGAGAAGCTTGTGTTCAACACTTTGAAACACACGTGTTTGTCCAAGACTCCCAGCTCTCTTCACATTCTTTTGCTTCAGGAGGTGAAGCATTAGTTAGCCAAGAAAACCTAAATGGCTTCTCCAAGGTCAGGAAAGGAACAGCAAATCTAGAAAGAGAGCTCAGATCAGAGCTTTAAACATAGTAATTAACACAAATACATCACCTGGCAGACAGAGCTTCAGACCAAGACTGGAGGCCTGCAGTGCTGTATGTTCACAGCACAAGGGAGCCAAGGAAAGAGAGAAGACAAACAGCTGAGGCAGGGAAATGGAAGCACAGAGGCACAGCAGCCTGGACAGTGGCCTAAGGTAACTCTGCCCAGCAGCACCAGAACGGAGAATCAAAGACAAGTCATGCCTCTGACATCCCAATGCCAGTTTTAGTCTCTTGATTTTCACAGTATCTCCCACTGCTCCCTAAATCCCAGTGAAGAAAACTTCAGGCCAGTTCCTACTGCCCTATCAGCAAGCCTCAGTTACACACAGATTACAGGGTTCCACCCGGGATTCCTGGAAAGACTGGAGGAATGGACAATACAGATTGGCTTCCTACTCCAAGACTCTCCAGACAGAGAATCATAGGATGACAGGGTCTGAGAATGCCTAACATTTCCATAATAAATTCAGAGCTGAAACCACTAGAATGCTGATAAGCTTCATGAGTGAATGCTGTGTACAAAAAAAGCTTCAGAGCAACCTCCTCTGCAGCTACAGAACTCAGTTTTCTGCCCTAACCAGACAGTATCCTTCCCTTTCTCTCCCTGTACAGTGACTCAGCCAGGCATTTTATTTATATTTAATTCCATACACACTTTGGGGAAACAGCTGATGTGAAAGACAGCATGCAAACTAAGGTGCATTGCAAATCAATTTTAAATCAGTAAAGGTTCAGAGAAAGCATTAGCTCAAACCACTAAAGCTTTTAGTAATTCTACACCTAGGAGCAGAACAAAGTAACACCCCAAAACTCACAAAACGTGGTTTAAGAAGGCCTATGTTCAGTATTGACATCTGCCAATAATCAAACACACCCCACAACCAAATTCAGAGGGAAGAAGATGCAAGCCAATACTATCAATGTGCTTTAGCTTTTACTCCCAAATCCTGGCATCATCCTTCCAAACTCCTCTTAGGAAAATGTCATCACAACAGCAGCATTTAACCACATCCATGGAGGCTGAGATCTCTTGGAAGAGTTATGACCCAGTATCAAATATCACTGCCTCTTATGCAGAAAGGTTACAAGCATCATTTTTCTGAGACTAATGCCATGAACACTTTAGCAAGGTATGTCTGGCAGAGCCAGCATACACAGTTTTTCCTGTTCCCATTTCTAGACTTCCTCTTCCAAAAATACTCAGAAAGCCAATGACTCCTGTCTCCCTAAAAGGAATGCAGTTAATCCCAGAGAAAGGCTCCATAGTGGGTGAAGAATTCACTTTCTCTATGGCTGGCAACACAACACTATCAGCCCAACACCAGGCACAGAGTGAGACACAGGTCAATCAGCTAACAGGAGTAAGCTGAGACCTGTGCATGAGAGATAAAGAGTGGCAAAAAGTGATTTTCTGCTTATTTGTTTGAAACCCTTGTATCAAGAGCAAACATCATTATGTAAACCCTCGAGGAAGGTTTTAAAACAAATTTTTAATCACCACTTACCTGGCTAGCAAATTCTCTCAGGTGAGCCATGCCGACAGGATGGGGTTTTTTGCAAAACCAGGGAGGATTAGGATGTTGCAGCACAGCAGGAAAGTGATGATTTCTCCACTGGTCAACTGTGACAAGCAAGAATACATAGCTCTCAAGTGAGGTTCCTGGAAGCTGGCTCACTCCCCCGAAGCATTACCTGCATCTTTTTTCTCTCCTTGATCTGAGGTGCTCCTTGAACCTGCCAACACGTTCTAAGTATGCTAGGCCCTCCTTGCACACCGCATTTCTCAATTCTTTACAGAAATGCCTTCCAGATGTGTCAAGGAACCTCACTCCGATGTTATAAACTGACCAAGTCCCAGGCTCCATTTTCACTACCATCACCTCAGCATGCTCCCCAGTACTAGAGCTAACCCCATAGCTCTGCCTCACCACCACTGCCAGCATCTTCAGACATTCCTTTTCTCCGGCTGCTCCTCAGCAATCCTCTCACTGAGCGCACTCCTCCGCCCTCACTGTCCCCGGTACAGCCCCTGGCAAAGCTCGCTCAGCACACACCTTCCTCTTCAGGGAGCCCCAAGCCTGCAGCCGCCGGCCGCTCCCTCTCCGGTGCTCCCCACTTCTGTTCCCCTCAGCGGCCCTTCCCTCCACCCCAGCAACAGCTGAGCCCCATCCCAGCCCGGCCCCCTCGGCCCACCCCTCTCCAAGGCGCCCGACCCCGGCATCGCCCGTCACGGTGCGGCCCCACAGCCGCCCTCCCCTCACGGACACCCCCTCACACCTCAGAGATCTCCTCCCTCCCGCGTTCCCCTCGCCATCATGGGCTACTCAGCGCACCCGCCCCGCCCGGCACCCTCAGAGTCCCTCTGCGGCGCATCGCCGCCCCGCCCGGACCGCGCAGGCCCGCCCGGCCCTGAGCGCCGCCGCACCTACGGGCAGCGCTGCGCCGCCGTCGGGAGCGCCATGCCGGGCCCTGGCGCACGGAGCCGCCGCCGCCCCGGGCTGCCCCGGGACACCAGGCGCGACCGGGGGGGGGAACGCCGGGCCGGGCGCAACAACACGGCGCGGCGGTGGGGGAGGCCGCGGAGCGCGGCACGCCGGGAGATGTAGTTTCCACGTCGCGTCACCCGGCAGTGTGATCGAGTTGCTGGACTACGATACCCAGAATGCCGCACGCTCAGCGGAGGGGCGGAGTCGCAGGGCGGGACGGTGGCGCGGGGGTGGCTGGGGCGGGGAGTCCTGAGGCGCAGGGGGCGGGCGCTGCCCGGCCTGGTGGCCCCGCGACTCCGGCGCATTGGCGACGCGGAGGTGGTGGGGCAGGCGCCTTTGTCCTCACGGGGCTTTCCTCTCGCCAGTCCCTACGGAACTGTGCCCAGGGGCTCCCCCGGTGACGCCAGGCAGGCCCGCCCTCAGCGCTTCCCTGCCTGCTGCTTCTCGTGAGGGTGAGGGGCTGGTGACTCCAGGCCCTCCGGGGAGCCGGCGGAGCGGGAGGAGGAGAGGGGATGGACGCTCCCTCATTGCCTCGTTCTGCAAAAGCGCTGCATTTGTGGGGCTGGGTTTTCCTTTGCGTGCTGTAATGTCAGTGACTGATTCACGTTTTTCAAAGGAAGAAAAAAAACCAGTAATTTTTCTCAGCCTCTTGCTAGGCAGCCTTAACGCTGGTCCTGCATTTCTTCCCTGCATCGAACAAACCAGGGACAGTTTTTCCCTAGCGCTGACACACAACGCCTTTATCACAACCTGCTGCTTCTAATGGTGAGCTGGTGCTGCTCTGAAGCACAGGTGAGCTTCAGCTCAGCAAGAGGAGCAACCCTGGGAACTGTCCCTGCATGAATAGATGGGTCTGTTCTATCCAGCAGCTCCCCCATATTCCTCTTATTCCCTCCTGCATTGCTTCCTCCATCAGTCTCCCTTCCCTCTGTTTCCCTGCCCCGATCAAATCAACCAGCACTTTGAGGTACTTAAGTGAAAACATCAAATAGATAGAATACAGGTATCAATAACTCCTGCAATGAGATTCTGATTTTGTATTTAAATCGACTGTGCCTCACTGGAAGGTTTTCACAAAGCTCTTACCTGTAGGATCCTTGGGTTGCTGGGGCTTTGAGTTTATACCTGCAGGACCAGCCTTCTAGCCCCACAAAATCAGACCATCTTGTCTCATAAAAAACTGTATTCCAGCACCACACCTTTACTTAGGAGATCTATGAACAGACGGAGAAATCAAAGCTTCATGTGAAATGGGAAAGGAAGGAGAATGAAGTTCTGCTCTGGTTCCACTGTAGCAAGAACTAAGGAGTAAACTGTTCTCTGTCTGAGTCCCTGTGTATGTTACTAAATGATTATTTGACCCCAATACCTCAGCTCTCCACCTCCAGTCACATGTACAGTCATTAATTTAGCCACTGTTGGCATGAGGCCAAAGGGCAGAAGTCTTACCAAAAAAAGTGCACGTTAATTAATGTGCCAAGTCTGAATATACACATGAGAGCAGCAATTTATTTTTTGTTTTGTCAGTTCAGGGTAAGTCTTCCATAAGTGTGATTGTCATGTGGGGTTAGCAGGGCAATGCCTTCTGAAATTGCTAAAGCTGGCTCAAGAGCACAGGAGACAGAGGGTTCAAATGTGGGCTGGTGTTTTTCCTCCTCTGCTTTGCTCCATGGATAGGGCAGGAGATTGTGTGTGGGATTTTGGTCTGGCCAGCACCTGGAAGAAACCATTTATGGATCAGTAGCTGGTCACTTTGCACACTTTGGTTGGGACAAGCTGGGGGTACAGGGCCTGGAGATGATTGCTCTGTTGTCAGGCAGCTGTTCCTGGGCCTGTTTTGTAGGGGAGAGGATTGTAATGTGCTCAGAGGAATGCAGAAACAAATGCTGACCCTGGGGAAGCAGGTGTCCCTGACTTCTCCACTCTTCTAAATGTTTGTATCCATCATCAGCTCCATTTGATTTCCAGAATGTATCAACTGGAGTCAAAGTCTTGCTCCCTGGTTTTCAGTCAGTGCTAGTTCCTAGCAGGCTAGTTACCTCTCCTTTGTTTGGATTTTTTTCCCCCATTTATTTTAACATTAGCAGCTGCAACTACAGAACAATCATACTACAAGTTGTGGATGTGTATAGATAGAATTTTTACTTCAGTACCCTGAAGTTACCTGTGCATTGCACCATCTATCTCCAATGAAAGAAATGCAGTCCCTGCCTCCAGGAGATCTATGTTTGGAAAAAGCCAGCTAAGCAAGTGTAGAAGAGGAGGTATTTCAGCTAGAGGAAAGCACCTGAGCATTAATTGCATGCTGGAGTGCCCAAGCCTACAAGACTTCAGCTGCTGAGTGTTCAGGGTTACAGCTTTCACCTGGCCCTGGGAAACAGGGCTGTGGGAAAGAGAACTTTGGGGATCTCTTGTATGGGGTTTCTTACTGGTTTTTAGAAGTTATGTCTTCTCTATTGTATGATTTTCAAGAGGATAAGATTGCTAATTTTCTTTTCTCCCTTTTCTAGTACTTTCTGTTAAAGCAAAGGGACAAACTTCCTGAATAATAAAAGAAAATTTGGTTCAAAGCTGGTGACATAAAAATGTAGTATTTAAACAAGTCTTCTGCTCAACACCCAGCCCCTAAACCCCATGTCAATTATGAAAACTACTTATAAGTAAACTGTGCTGTAGTCCCCATTCCCATGGCAAGATCTGTGTGCCCATGGAGTCTGCTTTTCTCCTGTCCATAAAACTAGAGCCTTTATCAGAGATGTGTTAGTCAAAATTGCTTAATATTCTCTCTATAAAAAGGCAATTATTGCAAAATATTGATGTTTTCTGCTGACGTGTGGAATAAACTCTGCTTGAGATAACTCTTACGATTCTCACATAAAAGAGAAATCTTGACCCAGGTATTTACAGCTTCTGCTCAATGAGCTGACACACCTGTGAAGTCCAGAGAAGAGTGTGAATAGTTTCAAGAAGTTTTGACTGACATGTTCTTAAATGTCCCACTCAAGTAACTCAACTTTTGTTTTTTGCTACGGAGTGTTAGTGAATCACCAGAGAACCTGTAGCCCTCTCTCGATGCTCCCTACCCTCTATCTGTGCTTTTGAGAACAAGGAACTTTTCAGCAAGTGTCTTAGAGCTGCCTTCCTACTTGAAGGTAAAATGCTGCAGTTGTATTACTGTATTCCCATCTGTTGCATGCCTGCTTGGGTCAGACAGAAAAGGGGTGAAGGGGTGGGCAGGTATGAAAATGTGTGGTAGGACATAGAATCATGGAATCCTTTAGGCTGGAAAAGCCATCTCAGACCACGGAGTCCAGCTGTCCCCCAGCACAAACCCGTGTCCCCAAGTGCCACATCCACACTATCCCTCCACAATGGTGAGCTCACCACTACTCTGGGCAGCTCCTGCCAGAGCCTGACCACTTTCTTGGGGAAGAAATTTTTCCTAAATATCCAATCGAAACCTCCCCTGGCACAACTTGAGGCTGTTTCCTCTTGTCCTGTCCCTTGATCCTTGGGAGCAGAGCCCAATCCCCACCTAGCTCCATCTTCCTGTCAGGCAGTTGTAAAGAGGGAGATCACATTTGAGCTCATTTGCAGGCTGAGCCCCCACCAGCTCCTTCAGCTGCTCCTCACTGGACTTGTGCTCCAGACCCTTCCCCATCTCCACTGCCTCCCCTTTGTACATGTTCCTCTCAGGGGAGGTTAGTCTGGAGCCCCATATACTGATAAAAACAAAGAATGCTGGTCAGTAGACAGTGTCTAGTGCCACTGCAGGTTTGCTCTAGCTATTTATGGCCAAAACAAACCATGAGGAAAGGACCTCAGGAGCTGGTGCTCTACATCCTACCTGCTCCAGATTGTGAAATCTTCATGGTTGGTTCAAGCACTAATAGATTTTTCTGTATGAATTACTCAAATACCTGGATTTACATTGTTCTGTTCCTCTTGAGAAACTCGTCATGACGCTGCTGTCAGAGAGGCTGTGCAGGTATCCTTGGGAGAGCTGGGCAGAGCAGTGTGGTGTGAAATGTCCTTTCATGGGGCATGGGGCAGCTGGTCTGTGTTTGAGATGAAGACACGAGCCTGGTGCAGAGTCCTGGGGCTGCTCAGCCTGCAGCAGCTCAGGCCTTTCCACCCTAATCCCCGCTTCCCCATGTGATAATTGATAAAAGGTTCGTGTTAATCACAAAAGCATTGGGGTTTGTATAAACCAGAATACTAAGCTCTGAAGTGAAGCATGGACACTAGATAAAGGAAATTATATGATAAAATAATTCTGTTTAAAATCACGTTGTTATGTTATATTATGTTGTATTATGTTACATTATAATATGTTATGTTATGTTTTCCAAATAAGTTGTATCAGCTACCAGCTTGCAAAATCGGACTTCCCAAAAAGCCCTTCCTGCCTTTGTCTAATCAATACTGCCTATCCCAAAAACCAGACTCCCAGAACTTCTCTGGTGGTTATCTACAAGGACCAGATGGCTATTTGTGACTGATTATCACCCAAAGGCTTTGTGAATTTGTGTAAGGATGTTTATTCAACTACCACTGCTTATGACAACAAAAAATCCAAAAATTATTGATTACAGCGAGAACCCACAGTATAAGAAGAGGCTGCAAACCAAGGTTTGGTGGAGCGTGTAGTGGGTGGTGACCCCTCACGTTCCCCAGCGCGCTACTTGCTCTTCCTATATCAAATAAAGCAACCTAAATTTTGCTGAATATCGAGACTTTTGTCTCTCATTTATAACACCCACATTTGCGGCAGATCTGGAGAGCCCTCCTCGCCGTGCTCGGGGGAGCACTGACGGCTTTGGGGCAGATAAAGAGCTTTTGGAAGCCAAGCTGCTTTTCTGTATTTTGGTGCCAGCAGGTGGCAACAGCGCTTTGCAGCCCCGGCTCCTCGCAGCGCCCGGCAGCCCCACGGGGTCCCTCGCAGCAAACGGCTGCGCTGCTCCTGCCAAATCCCGCTGCTCTCGTACTGCTCGTCCCTT